CCCTGACGTTCCTCTCAGCAATGGCATTCGTTTTGGAAATGTAGTTTGTACTTTGAACATGCTTCCATTCCAATTGATCCGCCGCTTTCACAAGTTCAGGAGCCCGATCACTGTAAAACACGTTCACGGTTTCCCCGGTGCGGACAAAGTGCTTGAACGCCATCACACACTGATGAGAGGTTTTCCGTGCTGCTGGGTAAACATAACGGAAATCAGTGGCAACATCTCGAACCACAAGTGCAACTCTAGATTGATCAATGCCGATTTCACGATCGTCTGAGGTAATGAGATGGTCCGCCGTAAGGTGATCACCAAACTTCTTGGCCTCGACTTGAGTGGAACCTCCCTTTTGTCTTGATGGATATTTGTACATCTTCGCCCTGTTACAAGTCTCGCAAAAGGGGTTCTTGGGAGTGTGACACATCAAGTGCTGGAGTGAGGTCGCCTCATCACGCAAAGCTGCTTCGCCGCGTTCGCGAGGAGCATCCTTCAAAATGGGCTTAGACACAAACTCGGAAGCGACGATCTTAGGCTCATCTTCAGAGGGAATGTCATGGCACTTTTCGATAACCTCACCTTCCGGTTGGCTTATGGTATCTTCAAGCAAGAAATCATCGTTCCCCAATTCGTCCCCATCATCCTCATTGGTCACAAGCACCTCTTCCACAGCTTCTGGTTCTTCGTCAATGACTAGAACTTCGTCCTCAATTTCAATGGGAGCTGATGGTAAAGATGTAACCTTTGGGATGCTTTGTGACAAAGCTGGAACAGCATTTTGAATCTCTGGAGGAATGAATGGTACATTGTCTTTGACCTCGAGCTTGATGCGTGAACCATCCGGAAGTCGGAAATAAGGTCTGCTGTGTGCTCTCCAAACGAAATCATATCCGTCTTTAAGGCATCTCATACCCACGGACAACACGGATGGAGCCTTGTCAAGAACGTACGGCCGAACAACACTATCGGTCTGTTTGATCTTGACTCCGCATCGGTTCTCGACAGCAAATCCTGAGAAGCTCCTGTATCCGCGATCCACGGAATGTGAGAAGAGTCCATTGGTATACGAGCAACAGCAGCCTTCCCCTTTTTGGGGGAAGTCTCGGGCTTCTCTGGCTCGGCCGTTAGGCCTGCGGGGATGCAGAAATCACAGCCGAAGTCAGAGTCGCATTGAAACTTGCAAGAAGTCTTCGTGCCTTTGAGCAAATCCTTCACCATAGCTTCATGCATAGCGCCGACGAGAGTTGCGTCTGAAACAGCTCTCTCATCGAACTTCGGAATGAAATCAACAGGAAACTCATGTGCAAACCTTCTCGACGAGGCAGTGTAGGGCCAAAGCTGGCCGTCAGTCTCATAGATCGAAATGGATGGGTAGTCTGAGAATTGCACACACTTCTTGATACATGGCATACCCTGGAAAACATCGTGACTCACACTAGGCAAGCAAGGATACGAGTCGACCGAGTCGAGGGTCGCGGCGCACACCATCGCCTGGAGGAGGCACACCGCGGCATTGCTGCCTTTTGACGATCGCGGAGACTTGAGGGACTGAGAACCCTTCGAATCTTTCGAATCCTGAGAAGAAGGCCTGCTACCCTTGTTCTTCTTTTTCTTTTTCTTGTCTCTCGGCGACGTCTTGGGGGTGTCTCCACTAGTGTTCTTGTCGGCTTTTGGGGCTGGAGCTGCCTTGGAAGTTGCGGGGCGCTGCCATGCACAATCTTTCCCCCCTCTCGCATCTGTTCGCTTTGAAGAACTTGCGTACCTGGGGCTTGGAACCAGGAGGACTCTGCGAACGATACTTCCTTGGCGTCTGGGATCTCGATCCGCCCTTCTTGCCTTTCCCCTTACCTTTCGGTGCCTTAACATGTTCGAATCGGCAGTCTGAACCATAGGTGCACTGGCCAGGTTGAAATTTCACACATACACCCTTGGGGATTCCAGGAACTGCAGGGTTGTTCGATGGAGTCCTGCCACGTCCCGTCGTGTTGCTCGACATAGCATCCCGCATGTGAACAAGCCGCTTGCGCTCCAAATATTTCCTCGATGCGTCAATCAAGAATTTATAGGAGTGCTTTTCCGTCCCTTCCTCAGCCACGCTCATACTCATTGAGATCATGACTGAGAGGCCGAAACTTTCGAATCTGGCGGTGGAACAGCGCTTCAAGGGTTTTCTCATTCTGCTCATTGCCCATTCCAGCGATGACCGTGTCCCATCTCGTCATGAAATTCTTGAGGTCCTCGTTGATGAGCTGGACAGAGAGCAAGTCCTCAAAGTCGTAAATTGCACCATGTTTGATGTTCGTGCTGAAGTGCTTGTGAATCATCAAAAGAATTTGGCGCCCCCTCGCGTAGCGTTTCTCCTTTGCTTCTTGTTCTTTGAAAATGTCGACTTGCCGCGCGAGGTCGCCCTCCAAGATGTTCGTCAACGCCGATGCCAGCTTTGCGTCAAGATGGACAAACATTCCTGAATCACGAAGGACTTCAACAGTTTGACCTGGGATCCAAGTTGCCTCAATCCACTCAAATGCCTTTTCGGGTTGATCGGAAGTAGCAACAACAGCATCCCTAACTTTGATCCTCCAATTACGGTACTGTTCGGGCTTCGGGAATCGGGGAATCTGAATTCTGTCACCCTCCTTTACACGAACGCGTTCCGCTGTCGGATCGCTCGAATTGCCTAAGTGCTTCAGTAGCTTTCGTCGAAAGGATTCATCCGATGCGGTCGAAGTTGATGATGAAGATGACGAGGGAGAAGATGACGGATCTCGTCGCCGGCGTCGGCTACGGTCCTTCTTCTTCTTCTTCTTTTTCTTTTTCTTGTCCTTGTCATTTCCACCATCACCGTCATCGCCAGGCCAACCGTCTCCGGTAGCAGCATCGTCCACGGCCCCGGCGGGAACGGATCTGTCTTTGCCGTAGGGGTCGCTCCCGACCTTCGTCCAACTGTGTGAGGAAGCATTCGAAAGTCCGGGTGGAGATGCAGCCAAAGGAATTGTCGGGATAGCCAAGGGGGTAGCTGGTGCCTGCTGAACGGGAGGCACAGGGGCCGGAGCAGGCTGAGCAGGCGGTTGCTGTTGATTCTGCATCATCTGCTCGACCATAGCCCTCAGCTCTCTCTCCTGCTCGCTGATCGTGTTCATGGCGTTTTGGTACTTCATCTCGGCTTCTCTTTCTGATTTCATGGTGTTCACACGCTGCTCCGCATTCATTTGAATCTCGCGTCTCATGGCCTCCGATTGGCTTTGAAGTCCGGCAATGATCTCACCATGCCTTGCCTCCGCCATCTGGGCGACCATGGGACCGGTGTCCTGATTCACGAACTGGTTGAATTGGGCATTGTTCTGGGTAGCGTTGACCTGCTGATAGTTCGTCACGTCCTGGTTGATCGTCATCGAAGGATCGAGGTGGACGTTTGCAACATGTTGATTGAACTGATTCATGGACTGTGGCATAGGGTTTCCCCTTGCGAGATCGATCTGAGGGTCGTACATGACGATGTCACCATGCCGATGCCGATCTGATCCAACAGGTGAAGGAGATCGAGCACCAGACCGCCCAGTCCTCCCACGGTCACTTCGAGATCGAAGCGATTCGGGGCCCTGACTGCTCAGCGCCTGTCCCTTCCTGATGAGCTCCCTGGCCACTTGGGAATTCGCGCGACTAGTCGGTTCGTATTGCGAGGCGTCTTCATCGCCTGCAGGCTCATCAGGTGTGGGACGCACCTCAGTATGGGGTAGTCCAGGATCGCCATCCATGGCGTACAACTCTGTACAAAGAGCCGCTTACGGCTGATAACCTATAGAACAGGTTAAACAACCGGGAAGGGTCACCAATGAACCCTGTCCACAGCGCGCTTTTTCTTGAGCCATACGCAGTCGTAATGATGAGACTGCGCAAGTGAGACATTCATGCATTGGGGTTTTACATGGTTGATAAATACATCACGTTGCAAACTACAATAGACTAATATTCAAAGGTGACCCCACTATGGGGAACCCTGTGCCAACACATTGGGCGTGTCCAAGAATAGGGGACTCCTGAAAATGGTGATGTTGCTGCTGGTGCTCTTTGGAAAGCTCTGTCTGGTTGCAGCCACGTAAAGCGGACAGCACTGAACAAACGCAAGATTTGGAACCAAATGATCCAAGAACTCATCAATGAAACCACCAATATTGGGTAAGGCAATCCAAGTGAAATCACTGGCGTTTTGTTTTGAACAAGCACAAAATCGAGCGGACGAACGAACGAACAAACGCACGAACAAGCAAACGACAAGCGCAAAAATCAGTTAACAAAATAACCTAAACAAAAGAACTAATCAATTTGACCGAACTGCAAAACACGCTGCTTCACTTGAGCAGGGTTCCCTATGTGTCACCTTGCAACATCACCTCGCCAAAAGGCAACTGAATCTGAATCGGTCCTGGACCCTGCAACCACTTTCGAGGTAGCCAAAGTATGGGCCAAAATCGGGGGAACCAAATGGTGCTTGTCCTTTGGATTCCCATTCAAACCCCCCAAAAGTCAATGCATTCCCCAGCCAATGCAAACCACCAAAGGCTTCTTGAAATGGGCCGCTTCTCATTAAATGCCAAATTTCGGTCAGAGGAAGGACACCCAAAAGCAAACACAAAGGACAACTCCAGCCTCAAAAAAATCACCTCCTGAATGGGCTGGCCACTCTTGAAGGTTCCCTTTCAAGGGACATGGCTCGGGGAACCCCCGCCCCCCTCGTTTGCTTGGACCACCCCCACTTCGGGATTCCCAACCAAAACAAGCCAACAAGCCAAAACGGGACTAAAGTCCAAGAACTCAGGAAGTAATTACACCCCCTCCCCGTTGTTTCGTTGCTTCAATCGAGCACCAAAAAAGGAAAACACCACTTTGTTCCTTTTTCATTCTTGTTTTTTTTGGGGGGGGGTCAGGGAAAAGCCCCCACACCCAAACCTCTGCGAGCTCCCCCCCGCGCGAACTCCGCCCGCGCGAACTCCGGGCTGAGGAGCTCTTCATGCCGAAGCCCTGGGCCAACTTGTGCACCGCCCGCGCCACCGCGCCGAAGCCGTAGAAGGCAATCTCCCGGTTGACCAGCTCGAAGCCGCTGCTGCCGTCGAAGTTGTTCCGCGCGGAGACCTGGGGTGGGGACTGGGGGTGGGGACTGGCGTGGCGTGGGGACTGGGGGTGGGGACGGGCGAAAGATCACCTAGGCCTGGGGATACAAAACCCTGGGCGGAAAACAACCTCTACCTCGAGCAAGCGCTCGCGAAGGAGGGCCCGCTGCGGGAAAAGGCGGGGAGTTTCACTCGCTGAGCTCATGGACTTTACACGTTTAGAGCTTCCCTGAGGGTCTGGTTTTGGGACCCTCAAAACTGGCTGGCCCCTCGGGGTTCTCCATTGGAGGTGGCGTGGGGTGGATTGGCCACAAAACAAGCCCAACTGTTTGAAGTTACCAAAATGGCCTTCCCCACAAGTTTCAAGTTCATGAACTCAGGGAGTGAGCCTGCCTAGGAGAGAAAAACGGCGGGAGTTGAAGTAACCAAGCTTAGAACCCGAACTGGGCCGTCCGTTTTCAGACCCCCGGCTAAAAGTGAAACACTTTTAGTCGTTTATATCAAGCACCCAACCACCAACACAACTAAACAGCTGAACATCTTAAGGGGACGGCATGGAACCGCCAAGCTAACCCGGGAAAAAGGCGATGGAGTTAAACTACCCGGCTTAGTAGATGCTACGCTGTCCTAAACAGTATTTTCGGGAAAGCCACTATTGTTTTTTGTGAATAGGGTTGGTTTAACGCAGCTACCATTTCCCCAAGTCAGAGATTTACAATGACGAGGTCCCTCCGAGCCCCCCAAACCCAGCCCCCTCCGCACAGCGCAATCTCCGACCCTCGCCCCCGGGCTGAGCTGAGCCGCGATCATCATCCCGAAGACCAGCTCCGCCACCGCGTTGGCGTTCTGCCCCGGGGTGTTCATCGCCTTCGCTTCGCGCGGAGCGAACCGTTTTCCCCCCACTTACCGCTGGTTCCGTCAGGTTTTTCTCTCCAAGGCAGGCTCACTCCCTGAGTTCATGAACTTGAAACTTGTGGGGAAGACCATTTTGGTGGTAACATATGCAAGAGGGGGCCATTCCCCTACAGGAAGTGGTTTGGAGATAGTTGAAGCCCTCTTGGCAAGGAACCACCACCATTGGTGTGTACAAACAGTATGAATGTGCCGAGGCTGTAAAAGTAAGGATGCGCATGGATGCAGGATGTATGTACATATATTCACACATTCGAACGACAGAGTATGCACTTGCATAAACAAGGTCAGGCGGCCACTATCAGCGCAAACATGTATGTGTATATATATATATAGATATATATTCTATTTCAAACCTCTTTAGGTTGTGGTCTCCGCCCTCTGAGACTGGTCCTCGAAAACTAGCAAGGCGAGAAGCAAACCGCACATTCGGGACACTCGCAGGGCAGATTCAGAACACGAGGGAACTTGGCCAAGATCTGTACGCAGAACCAAAGGGCGGTAATACAAGTTCAAAACATGGGAAACACCGCAGAACCCTGCACATAATGCACTTTCAGATCTGTTTCATATCTTGCTGCCGTAAAATGTATGTAAGAATGATCCAGAAACACCTTTCCAACCGTTAACCGTTCGTATGGTAGCAAAACACTTTCTTGCGTTTTGTAGCCGCATGCTACAAACAAACAGAACCAAACAACCAAACACCTGAAACAACATGCCAGCAACAGTGAAAACACCTGGAATGTTGATTCCCCTGCAAATACCAAGCAACGTTATGGTTTCAACCATGGTTTTCGGTTCTTCCCCCTGCTGGTTCTTTCTCAACATCTTTTTCGTGTCTTCTAATATCAACCAAACCTTTGGTTATCAACCAAACCTTTAATTCACCACTCAAATGGCATCCAAACCAAAAAGTGACTCAAGTCCGAGTTCCGGAACTATAAGTTTCATATTCCTCTGGCAAAAAGATGGGATGAAGAAGTGGAATGAGACCAAAACACAAAACTCCATTCCACTTTGGACGTCCCCCCCCCCCTGTTGCAGCGGTTCAGGAAAAGGGTTGCTGGACCTCGGGGACGCTTCGGCCGAGGCGCGGTGACCTTCTTGGCCTCGCAGGCCTTGAGGTCGATGTTGTCGTAGCCCGCCCCCGCGCGGACCACGATCTTCAAGGCCTCCGCCTCGCGTCAAGCGGGAGACCGGGCTGGATGGGGCTGGATGGGGGCAGGGGGGGTTGGGTTGTGGGGGGAGAGGGGGGGAGGGGGTCTGTAGGTGGGGTTGTTCTTGTGTTGTTTTCTTCTTCTTCTTCTTTTTTTTGGGGTGGGTGGGTGGGTGGGTTGTTGGGGGAGGGGGGGCTGTGGAGATTGGTGGGTGAGGGGGAGGATCACATGGGCGTTGCGAAAGATTTTAGCTGGATTCTCGGAAATGGGTTCGAGAGAGCTTCCTTTTGAAACCATCCAACATAATGTTGACCCCATATTCATCAACCCCAGTTTATTTCGAGGGGGGTGACTGTTTTCCCCTCCAAAAGTGATTCCCCACGATTCAATTCCAGGGACACCCCCCTGTCACGCCCCTATTAATAAACTGGTTGCATGGAGCTGACTTGGCAACCATCGATATGTGCTGTTTGCAAACCCGTGCCTACAGGATGGGCGGAACCCGTGGGGCGGATGGGCTTTGTGCTGTGCTTATGCGCGGATGCATTTCCCAAACGACGCAAATTGGGTGGTTTCCAAGGAGATGGTTGCTCAAAGCTTCGTTTTTGCAGCCCCCTAAGAATGAACAGAACCAAACAAACACAACAACCTCAACACGTGCCAACAACAATGAACGCAATCTACCTATGGTTTTTAGTGCTTTTCTAGCTTCCTCAGTGGATTGGTCTGAAAAAGTAACCAAACTTTAGCTTATCACTAAAATGGCCCGGTCTTCCGGTCTTCCCCAAAGTGACTAAAGTCCGAGAAACGGAACTCAGGAAGTCCGTTGTTCCCTGCGGCTCACGTGCACCCAGGGCCTTCTCGAGCACCGAGGCATCCACGATGTCGCTGCGGATGATCATGGCGTCCACGCCGGACACTGCGGCCAAGAGCTCGTCCTTGCTTTTGTAGTTCTCCAACTTCCTGGAACCAGATCCCAGAACGTGGGGAAATTACGGTTGCTTTCCGCTCCCCTGCAGAAGAAGTTTAACTTTTAGTGGTTTAATGGAGAGCCCATTAGTTGGCAAAAAGTTAAAAACATCCAAGCAAAATGCACCATTGGTAGATGAATCAAACACAACAAGACAAGTATAGTCTTAAAATGGGAATCGGACCCTCCCCCAACATGCTGCGGTTGGGTAAGGTCCTTTTGGAAATAGCATCCATGTGTGGGTTCGTAGGGATCCCATAGTGTCCTACACAAAATGAGAAAAATCGGAGCCTCCCTTCTTTTGATGCCCCCCTTCTTTGGATGTCCTTGTGGTGAAGCTTTAAAACCACAAAGGGAGGACTGTGGGTAGAGGACTGTGGGTAGAGGGAATCAAAATCAACATGTTCTCCAACTTCCTGGATCCCATAGCCTCGCTGGTTCAGAGGGAAATGAGAAATGGAATGACAAAAGCAACCATCTTTGATGGATTCCCTTATCCATCCAGTGTCCTATAAAAATCGGGGAAAAGCCTCTCGATTTGGACGGTGGTTTTCCTGTTGGGTGGCTCTAGCAAAACCACACAAGTTGCACGATCCGGATCCGGAAGGCCAAGCTTGAGGGAGTGTCTCCCCAAAAATGCAACTGCAACTTAACAGGGATCCTTACATTATACACCTGAACATTGCAACTTGTAAATGGTGGTTTCCGTTTATTTTGGTTGAAAAAGCAACATGTTTCAAATGGTTGCAACATGTATCTTTTAAGGAGCCCTGCTTAAATTGCTGATTTCCTGGGGTGCCTCAACGAGAAAACCCCCCCCAATGATCTCAACGCTGAACGGAGAGAGGCGACGGCTTCTTTTCTGGGTCTGAAAACTCCAACGAACAGGGCTTCACCAGTTTGAGAAACCTCCTCATAGGCTCAAGTCCATTCAATCAAGCTATCCTCATTGCCTGAGCCAACTGATTGGAAGGGAAACCATCCTAAACTCGCTTCCTCAGTCGATTGGTCAGAAAAAAAGAAACTATTTTTGTTGTTTACTACTAAATCGTCTTCCCCAAAAGTGACTAAAGTCCGAAACGGAACTCAGGGAGTGAGGCATTTGCAGGTTGTGCGCAGGTGAGGGGTTTTTGTGGGTCTGTCCAGCAGTAACATGCTTTTTGGCACTTCGAAGTGAAACACCTAAAGGCCTGGGTGAGAAACATCAGTATCCTCATTCCACGTCTCAAACATTGGCAAGCCGATGGGGAGATCGTGGGAAGTATTGTGGATGACCGGATAACCATTCAGACATCAAAAAAAAAGGACACGCAACTTGGGCGTTGCTCTATCTTCTTGGAAGGGCATATAATTGCAACATCCATTTTCCCAACAACCCACCTGAACATGATCTTACATACGGCAAGAATGCGCTTGCAACCTTGCATGTGGAGTAAGGAGCCTATCCCATCTTTACATCACGGCCAGGGGTTACTGAATCACAACCTCAAGCAAAACAGCGGCGGGTAGCATCGGCTTCCATGCAGGACTCACTTGCTTGGATTGGCCCCCAATTCGATAGGGGGTTTTGGCTCCAACAGTTATCTGAATCCCCACAGGAAAAAAGACCTCCCCCCCCCGACTATGCCTCAAAACATGTACCAAAACGGCAATTTTGTAAATGGAAAGACTAAAGCCTGCGGTCTGCCCTTGCTGTTTAATCTTGAGCCACACCCCCGCTAGTCAACTGGTTTCACTTCATCAGGGGTTCCCATTGAGTGCGGACAACTGAAACGGTAATTTTCTGGCCAGGCCATCTGCCTCAGTAGGGAGGGGTGGGTTCTCAAAATGGATCTTGGAACCCCCGTTTTGGTTGGTGGTAGGAAAGCCACAAGTAAAACTGAGAGTTTGTGAGGACTCCAGCTATAGATTTGGGCATCTTTTTCGGGGAAACCCGTCTTTGGAGTTGTTGTTTTTTAGCATGTTCTAAAGGAAACCACCGGGAAATCGGTCATTTATGGGATTGCCCTGTTTTGAGACGCACACATTTTGAGAAACGCGCAAAGGTGTGCAACCCAGGCGCTTGAGGGTGTACTTGGCCTCCTTAAGCACCTGGCCCACAAGGCGAGTCCCACGGCGCTTCATGTGACGAGAGGCTTCGCTTGTGGCAGATGGGCAGCTTCCCTCGAATTGGTGGTTTGGAGCTCGGTGGTTCAGCGGTTCCCCATTTACCCTCTACAAGAACCAGCGTTCAACTCCACAAACCACCAATCCAAACCACCAACTAAGGGCTACCTGATAAATGGGAGAACCCTCCAAATGTCTGGTGTCGCTTTGGTTCCTTTCCCTTCAAACCAACACCCAAAAGGGTACCCTCAAAACACGACAGACCCACCTACCCACATTGCGCTGCTATTAAACTTGCAGCACTTCACCTTTTCAGGCTGATCGCTGCGTACCCTCTGGAGTGTGGGGGAAATGTTTTTGTTTTCATTCAGGGAAACAGAAATCAGGGATCTCCACCTTTGTTGAGATCAGGGGCACCTTTAAGCATTTTCAACGGCAAAGTTGCCGAGTGACCCAAGTACAAAAGGCAATCCTTTTTGGATTGATCATTTTCAGTGGGTCTCTCTTTAAATCTGGGCAAGGTACTATAAGTTTACCAGCTGGGAGTCAACTCACTTGAGTGGACGGGCCAAAAAAAAACTAATTGTTTTGCGTTTCCCACTAACATAGGCCAAACCCAAAAAGTGACTAAAGCTCGGTTGAACCTCAAAAGGTGAGTTCCGGAATCTGCAGGACATGGGGATCAGCTGGGCCCCTTACCTCTAACTTTAGCCACGGGTAGGGTTGACTCCTGGCATTTTGAGTCCAGTTCTTGCTCCCTCCCTCGGTGGGGGAGGGAAGGCTTGTTCATCAGGGATCAAGAGTAAGCGACTACCTCTTTAGCTCGTGCTAGCAAGCCAGTGTTTGCTGGGCGCATGGGCGCTGACTGGAGTGGCTGAACCAGACGTTCAGCCCAGTGCCCGGGAAAACCTGGCTTTACATGGTAACTACCAAACCATTTTTGTTGTGGAGGGTCGACGTGATTCCCTGAAAAAAGGAAATCCGGGTCCAAGCGCTGTACGGGGCAAGCGCCCAACCCGTCGCCGAAAACGAAGGCCTCCTCGATCTTGGTGACCGCCGCCGCCGCGAAGGCCTTCTCCGTGGCCAGCAGCACTGTCCTGGCTCGCTGGCGACTGAGCGGAGCAGGGGATGAGCCTCGGGGCCGGTTTTTGAGGCGGCCTTTCTGCGGGTTTGCCTTTTTTTTTTTTGGGGGGGGGGGGGCGACTGAAGGGGGCCTCTGCCGTTTTTTGTTTTTTTCTCTGCGGGTTTTTGAGGGGAGGTTCTTGGGGGAAAAATTGGGAGAACATAGCCAAGCTCCCAGTAGTGAAATCGATTCCCAAACATATTCATACTAAGCAAATGTCGTTGCCGCTTGTGACTTTTTTGAGGAGGGGGAAAACAACACGCGACAATCACATGTGTCTCAGCAGTGAAACCGATTCCCTTTGAAACCAATAAGGGAAACAAAACATACTCATGATTAGCAAATGGAAGGGCTCGTTCTCTCACGTCCGATCGAGTGGAAAGCCCCAAGAAAAGCAACCACACCTTTTTGGGAATACCACTAAAATGGTCAACCAAAAAGTTTAAAGTCCACGAACTCAGGGAGTGAGTGGGAAAGCTTTGGTTTTCTGGCTGACTTTCTGTGAGTTTCTATGTGTGTTTGTTTTTGAGTGTTCCCATGGGAGGAAAATAATTGCAAACTCGCCAGCTTGTCTATTGGGTTGATTTAAAGGGATATCAGCAGGATATTTTGTCTGTTTTGTATGGGGGGGGTCCCCCTAATTTGTCACATTGGTTTTTGCACCGAAAATCACGTCCCCCAAAGACTCATGGCCCATCAATGGCCCATCAACCTTTTGGAAACATCACTATGGATCAAACTGCGCGACCGCAGGTCAAAAAATCGGATTTGGGGAACTGAGACAAAGCAGGTCTGCGCAAAAGTGGTCCGAACTTTGAAACGAAATAGTGACGGGTTTCCCCTCCGAAAACGTCTAATTGCATCATGGGGAGGGGGGCCCTGCCCTTGGCCGCAAGAAGGCTCACAGAAAGCGGTTTTCAACAAACCTCTGAGCCAGCGTTGGTTGAGTCACAATGATGTTCGTTTGTAACCCCCAACCTCTGGTTTTCACATGATAATGTACTAGGTGTTTGAGTCACCAGGGAAGACGGGGGGAATGGGGCGCTGGGCAAAGTGCTGAGACTTTCAAAGTGTTCTTGGTTGTCTCATGTGGGCGTGGGCGTGCCTTTTTTGCGCCCCCCAAAAATGTGGTTTCCTTTAGGATTCTTTTCCTTTACAAGTCGCACCCATTTGGCGGCAAGCTTTGTACACGGTTCAGTGTTGAGATCGCTGGGATTCGAACCCGCAACTTGAAAAACGCACGTAACCACCCTTGAGTGGTTTCCCAAATTCAAATGAGCAGCTGTGCAAGTGAAGCTAAGGGACAGCCCCAGCCAGAGGTGCGATTCGATCTCCGCCCCGCCTCGCTTTTCCAGCTTCACCAGCCATGGCGAGCTGCGATTTCTCGCGGGAGGTCCCGCGTGAGCAAAACTGGGCGCTTCGAGCCTTTTGTTCGCGACCGGTTCCATCGCGGCATCTGTGCTTAGCAACCCAACCGAGACATCAATGGTAGAGGATTCGACTTGTGGCCGAATGTTTGTCACTCCTGCTTAAGGCAGGACAAGGTCCCTTCAAGGATACATCTGGGAGTTGACTAGCTGATTTAGCGGATATCCAGATACATCAAGTGATTTGTGGATGTGGGGCAGTGGGGGGGTCTTTTTGAGTCATTGAGGGTACCCTCTCGGTGGCTTGAAAGGGACATCACAAAAAAGAAACAACATTTGTTGGGCCCCACCTCTACCATGTTCTTGTAGACCTCCCATCGGTAGCTCCGAAAAGGCTCCGTTTAGAAGCAAGTTGGGATACCCCCAGCGCCGGAACGAGGCAATGACCCCTAACCTTTTCTGGTGGTTTCCTTTCATCCCCCAAACGGTTCATTCCCCAGACCCGTCATTCCTTTCGAACCAGCAAAGAAATCAGGAACCCTGCGGTCTGTTGAGAAGTCCCGAATTTGCTGGCTTCCGCGGCTTTTCGCCTTCAGTCCACAAGCTCCCAAAGCTGAAGCACGCGCCGCCTCAGCCCGCGGGCGAATTTATCGCGCCCGCAAGGCGATGGACACCGCTCATGGGCTCAGCATTTGTTGTGTCCTTTTTGTTTTCCTACTTGGTACCTGGTGCTTGTACAGGGTAAATGGGTGTTGTAACCTCCGAACCACCAAGCCAGGCCAACTAACCAGCGGGAATGTGTTTTTCACAGATGTCAGCCTGAAAGCAGGCGGATGAGTTACAATCTACGCAGTGCTCATGTCTGGGACAGAAGTGATCCCCAGGGCCACATAAGTGAAGACGAGGGCAATATACACTGCTACTAGAAGCTGATAGACTGATCATGGCTGCCCACTGTTGCCTTCTATTTCCCTAACTTGATACTGGATCTCCTTGCCAAAAATGTCCTTGCAATGGATGCCAGTGGCTACGAGCCTTCAAGCATCATAGGACGGGTTTTTGTGTTCCTTCGATTACATGTTAGGAAGCAGAACTTCATACCCCACTCTTGGGACCACCTTTCCTACAACCAGAAAAGGCAATAAACAATGGACAAGCAGGGGTCCGGAGAGGGCAAAAGCGTCACAATGAATGCAAGAGTCTTAACTTGTAGGGAGGGGGGGGGGTTGTGTCAAAGGGGAGGCACGGACTCCAGAACAATGGTTGGTTCCTTAAAGGACTCCCTTGAAACCAAAAGGGAAACCAAACAAAAAACAAAGGACGAGCCGCCAATACATGGGGTATATAGGGTCACGTACAACCCAAGTGGATACGTATAGGTTGAAGTTTGAAGCCCATTTAGGTCCCCCAAGAGCTCAGCCTAGACATGGGTGTTACTCCAAGTGCACAACTGACATGGTGTTGTTTGTGCTGACATGTCATCCATTTGCCGATGGAAGTGTGGCGCCTGTCAGGCTCACATCATGCCCTCTGCTAACATAATCTACTCTCACCACGGGCAGTTGCGGAGAAACGTGGGTCCTCGAGGTGGACACAAAAAGCGACAACCAACATGCCGGAGAAACCTGGGTCCTCAAGGTGGACACTACAAAAAGCGACAACTAGGGTCTATTGAAGGCGAATCAAGTTGCTTGACCAGTCCCCTCTTAGGTCCCCTGATCCATGGAACGTGACGAGTCGACGAATCCAGGCGGCAGATCCGAGGGCAAGAGGTACTGCCAAGGCTTGTGGCAGCCGATGGGACTTGGGTGGAAGATCGTCTCCACCTGAGGCCAAAGGAAAACCATCCACTCGGCCAAAACGGGTTTTAACTAAAGATGTTTATAATAGATTTATATGGGTTTATGATGGGTTTACCTGGCTTTAAACAGGGTTCTTATAGATTTATGTAAGTTTATGATAAGTTTATATGGCTTCAAACAGGGTTCTTATAGACTTATATAGGTGTGTATACTACCAGCATCGTTACAACAGTGTGTGTGTGTGTGGGTGTTTGCTTGGTTGAGGCTACACTTTACACCTTGGTGTAAAGGGAACAAAAAAACAAGGAGGAGTACCAAAAGAACAAACAAGTTCTGGCACCCCGATTTTGACACATACCCATATAGCCCTTATACCAATGCACATCGAGTGGAACCACCTACTCAAATGGAAAAAACGAGGGTGGCAAAAGTTGAAATGCCAGGATTCAAGTAAATCAAGAATGTCCAGTAGATATGGTGCCAGCGAGTGCAAGCGTCCCTTTTTCCAACTTGAGCCACATGATGGCAAGTACAAAACTCATGCACCATACCCGAAGAGGAAGTTAAAAAGAACACACCCCATGAAAAGGTGGGTTTGTTTAACTCCCCCCTCTTGCGATTTGGGCCGGTGCAGAATGGGTCGCAGCGAAGGGTGGTGAAATCACCCCTTGCTAGAATGATTGTTTCAACACAAGGGTGTCTAGCAGCGACCTGGTGAAAGCCAAGTATTGTCATGCAATTCACTTCACGTGAAACATAATTGTGTTCACTTCATGGTGTGAGGCGCTCGAAGCAGCCACACACGGCAGGGGCAGGTGAGGTGTTCATTCACAGGCTTTGGCTGCGGAACATCCCCAACATGAATCAAGTCGAGGGCAGCGCCCCACTTCTGAGGGCCAAGTGCCTTCGTTAAGATATCTCCCTTCTGCTCAGTTGTCACAATGTAATCTATTCTGGGATTTTCAAATGCTTCTGACAATGAGGTGACGTTGATCTATGATTCTGATCTTTTGCAAGTGCCGCAATTTGGAAGAGTATCCTTCAGATACAATCGCAAGGACAGCTTGATTATCTTCGCAACACTTGACAAGAACCTCACGGCCAAAGAGATGGCTGCAAGCGATCTCCAAGGGCATCACATCATTGCACACGGCGGTGGCCAAAGCCAGTGTTTCAGATTCAGTCGTGGATCGGCTGGTGACAGTCTGCTTTCAGCTTACCCACACAAGAGGAAGGAAACAGTTTTCGGCTTCAAGGGCAATGAAGTAACCCGAACAACTCCTCATGGTGCTCACACAGTCACCAAAACTCGCATCTACCCAACAGGACAGCCGCAACTTTTTCAGAGGGTCATGCATGAAGGAATGCAAGGCATAAGTTGCGGTGCGGCTCAAGTAACCCATCAAGTGGGCGAGGCGCGTATCATCAGCCTTACTCCGATTAGTCACATGAGCTCCCAACAAATTAATGCTCACTTGCAAATCCGGCCGGCATAATCGAGCCAGCCACAACAACTTCATGACGATTCTTGCAGCACTGCCCAGAAGTTCCCCCCTGGCAGTGAAGCCCTCTGGACTCAACGATCCTTCTTCTACAGTGGGGTGCTAGCAGCGCGCGCTGGCATGTCTGTAAGCTCTTTGCGTCTCTCCACGCATTGCTGAGCGATATCTGCGGCTTGAAATGCATAAGCTTCCTTACCTTTCCAAGTCACTTTCTGATGAGATCGTCCCAAGACGATGGTCAAGGGCATGGGCTGTTCGAGTTTCACCCGTTTCCCAAACTCTAGCCAGAAACCGGCATGTCGAGAGCCTTCACTGCTAAGCGTAAAGTCGTCCAAATAGGCCGACAGAGCCATTTTGGAGCATTCAAACATGAAACAGAACGGCAAACAGAAGTCCTTCCTCCCATCGACTGCAACGCTGCGTCGGCGTGCTTCCACCAGTGGGCCGAAGATTCCGGATGCCCATAAAGACTTCTCCGGAGCCGAAGCAACATGTGCAGCCACCCCACAAGTGATGCACGTTCTCTTCGTGTGCATAAAGCGTATTTTCTTCATTACAAACAACCTTGATGTCTGAGGCAGTCTTGGCAAATATGGCAACTGACCGAGTAGCCAAATGAATGTTTTGCCATCACTTTCAACTACAATTGGGTAGTCCTCAAGCATATAGCAATTAGCATTACCCCAGCCATCCATGTGCAAATTGAGAGTATCGTTCCCATGCTTGGCGCGCCCCCCTGTCGCAAAGGCATGGGGCCTGACGAGGTGCCAATGCATGAGTTGTACATGGATGAAGGAATGCCAAGGCCTTGCTGGAGCCCGGCGCATGCGTCGGCCCCCCCTTCGACGGTGACAACATTGGCAGCTTGAGACACTGGATGCAATCATGGCCACCGCAAATGCTGGCATCGCTTTGGGCTTCGGCTTTGGCTTTGCTGCTGCAGGCTTAGCACTTGGCTTGACACCTGTCTTGACATGAGCATACTCGGACTTTTCCCCATGATGACACCCGCCATCCAATTGAAAGAATATGCAAGGCTTTCTGCTCTTTAGCCTTTCTTCCCCTTGCCTTCTTCCTTTCCCGCCTGGAGGCGCATAAGCAGCCAAACCAGACGGCAAGGAAGGAGGCGACCCTGCTCCCTTTGGAGTAGTTGCTGACGGCGATGAGATCTTTGGAGCTGGCGCTCCAGCAGCCTTGTCACCAGGGGAAATCTTACGAAGGTGGCCCTGAACATCCTTAGCATTGAGATCTTCACGCTTGTAACCAAGGGTATCCTGGAGCTTGCTCTACAGGAAATCCACGCATCGTACTGTCCTTTGGAAGTCCTTTATGCTCTCAACGTGGCGTTCGAGTGTCCTGAAATTCCTGACCTTGCTGAACAACTATTCCCCAGGGAGGCAATCTGATGGGAACAGCTGACATGGTCTGCACAACCTTGCTAGCAAAGTCCTGCATCTCATCAACGCCAGACCCGTGGGCTCTCAGGCAAGCAAGGCAGATGCAGTGAGCATTGAACCTCGTGCTCTATCCAAGCCAAAACGCTTGACCACAGGCTTCAGAGCAGGTGCCGGCTTGGGAGTTTGTAGGCCTGATGAAAGGCTTTGCAGCAGGTGCCAGCTTGGGAACTGCAGGCTTTTTCAAAGGCTTTGGAGCAGGTGCTAAATCCACGGGCGTTACCTGCCTCCAAGGATGTTGCTCTCCAGCAACTGGGCTCTTCTGCTCCTCCTCCTCAGACTGCCAGTCTGCCGGGGTGTGCAACGATCGGACCTCACAGAGCTATGCCGGACGCAGCTGATGCTCATTGTATGCGATCCTCCTCCTCTGAGCACTCGCGCCGCCACGGATTCGCGCAGGTCCTTCCTCCAAGTCTGACACCAGCCAAACTCGCCCCTCTCGCAAGTAAACCCCAAGCGCTCGCCAAGTCAAGAATACATATTGCAAGCTCGGTCAGGAAGTACTTGAAGGGCCAACGAGGGCAAGATCCGCTGTCACGTCAAACAAGTGAAGTAAAAGAATACTGCAGCTCGTTGTCAAAGTCCGTGAGCCGGATACGGCTGATAACAAGTTGAAATACCAGGATTCAAGTAAATCAAGAATGTCCAGTGGATATGGCGCCAGCGAGTGCAAACGTCCCTTTTTCCAACTTGAGCCAAATGATGGCAAGTACAAAACTCATGCAGCATACCCGAAGAGGAAGTTAAAAGGAACACACCCCATGAAAAGGTGGGCTTGAATCTGGGGAACCCCTTCCAAGTGGCTAGTCCCCCCAAGGTCAAATTGAAAGTCACACCTCAGATTTCGGAGACATCTTGGTCGGGGTGTTCGTCTTCGCGCCGCTGGCGTTTCTTTGGCTCTGCCCCAGGCACGCTCTCTCAAGGCGAGTTGGCGGTCTCAAAGAGGCTGAGCTTCAAGCTGCTTATCTGACACGCAGCCGAACTTCCTTTTTGGGGGCGTGCCGTTTTTTTGAAGGTTCCGTTTGGTGGTTTTAAAGGGATCTACAGCGAAACGAAGCTGGCAACTCTGAATCTCATGCCAAGCCCCTCGCTTAGGAGACCAAACGCTTGTCCACTTCGGATGCTGGACGCTCGGAGACAGAAGATTTCTGGGGCCCTGCACGAGTTTCGGTTCCCACAACTGGGGCAAGGGAAATCCTGAAAGGAAGCTGTGTCATACTGTGGATGGACAAAATCCATTTTGCACCACTTTGAAACCATGGGAAGCCATTTGTTGGCATTTTGCAAGTAAATCATCAGACACCAGGGTTTCTTAGGTAAGCTCCTCTTAGCCTCAGCGAAGTTGCCCAGGTCTTTGTTACTCTTTGTTCCATACTGTTGGATCAAAGTAGAACCCGAAGTTGGGCGGTTTTGAAGGGAAACCACCATAACATCAACGTCTCATGAGGTCCCCTAAAAATAGATTGTTCGCGGCAACGGCCAACATCTTGCCTGGGCTGACGAAATGGGGGCCCGCAAAGACGGTAAGAGTGTGATGAAAATACCCCAGAACAAATGGGAGCACCTGGGGTTAAAAATGCAATCGCGTGGTTGCTGTTGACCCCTCTGCAAAGAGTTTAATTGTTTTTGGGTTCAATGGAAAACCTCCAATAGCAATCGCTAATGATCCAGGGGAACACATTCACAAACAAATGATCTCTTCCAGCATCCGAAGTGGACGCCGCCTCTGCAACTTTCGCTGAAGAGCGCTCTCTGCTAAGAAGCGCTCTTCGCTTTGTCGCTTCCGGACCGAGCTCGGGATTCAATCCCGCAAGCGCGCCGGGAGCAAGGGGTTTCCAGGACCGGAATGGTCGAACATGCTAATCCACTGCTTCAACTTTCAACTTCTTTCGACTTGGGTCATGGTCGGCTTTTGGCTGAGGCGGAGTGGTCACTTAGGGATCGCTCAAACAGTTCACTTACAGATCACGGTCACTTAGGGATACACGCCCACTTAGGGATCACATTCCGCTCACTCACATTCACGGATCACTTAGAAATCACATTCACTGACCACCGGGGGGGGGGGGGTTGGGTGGGGGGGGATGATAAGCACACCCACTCAACACTAGCCTGCTCTTTACCGGATTACAAAGTAACATGGTCTGGGGGGGGGGGGGGTTGGGGGGGGGGTGAGAGGCATGAAAGATGATAAGCACACCCGCCCAACTGCTGCAGACCAGCCTGCTCTTTTACCGGATTACAAAATAACATGGTTCCGGGTTGGGTTGGGGGGATGATAAGCACACCCGCTCAACTGCTGCAGACCAGCCTGCTCTTTTACCGGATTACAAAATAACATGGCTCTGGGGGGGGGTTTGAGGGGGGGGGGCATGATAAGCACACCCCCTCAACTGCTGTAGACCAGCCTGCTCTTTTACCGGATTACAAAATAACATGGTTCTGGGGGGGGGGCTGGGTGGGGGGGATTCGCACACCCGCCCAACTGCTGCAGACCAGCCTCCTCTTTTACCGGATTACAAAGTAACATGGCTCTGGGGGGGTGGTTAGGGGGGCGGGGCATGATAAGCACGCCCGCTCAACTGCTGCAGACCAGCCTGCTCTTCTACCGGATTACAAAACAACATGGTTCTGGGGGGGGGGTTGGGTGGGGGGGATGATTCGCACACCCGCTCAACTGCTGCAGACCAGCCTGCTCTTTTACCGGATTACAAAGTAACATGGCTCTGGGAGGGGTGGTTAGGGGGGCGGGGCATGATAAGCACACCCGCCCAACTGCTGCAGACCAGCCTGCTCTTTTACCGGAGTACAAAATAACATGGTTCTGGGGGGGGGGTTGGGTGGGGGGGATGATAAGCACACGCGCTCAGCTGCTGCAGACCAGCCTGCTCTTTTGCCGGATTACAAAATAACATGGTTCTTGGGGGGGGCATGGTAGGCACACCCGCAGACCAGCCTGCTCTTTTACCGGATTACAAAACAACATGGTTCTGGGGGGGTTTGGGGGGGGGCATGATAAGCACACTTGCTGAACTGCTTCATCTCAGCAAATTCATCTCTTTCTGGGGGTGGGGGGTGGGGTGGGGGGGGTTGAGGGGGGGGTTGAGGGGGGATGATAAGCACACCCAGCCCAGCCTGCGCTGCTCTGTAACGAAATGTGCATTGGACATACAGACATACACGCCACATATGTCATGAGATACACGCCAACAAGCACAGACAAGCGCATACATGCAAACACACGAGCGCATATAAACATACATCGCGAGGCATACATGTCAACACGCATGCATGCACGACAAGCCTTCTTCAAATCGCGATCCCGGGGCGACCCAAATCCGCGATCCCTAAGCGAACCACTTCCGCGATCCCTAAGCGACCCACTGCCCTTTTGTCTTGCCCCTTAATAACCCTCGTGCATGTTGGTGCTTCTCCCCTCTCTGGCTTGCGAAACAGCCACGTGCAAGCCGAAAAGGCGCAAGTCGCCAAGGGCTTCAGCCGCACATGAGGTTCCCCTCGCGGTAGCAGAAGCAGGTGCCGACCCCGAACTGCGGGATGCCCTTGGATCCGTACCTTTCAACACTCGGTTGCTTTCTGCTCTCCTGCTAAAAGTTTAACTGTTAGTGATTCAATGGGAAACCAATGAGTTGGCAAAACGTTAAAGTCCCAAGATGCACCAAAGAACACATCTACTCACATCCGATCCGATTCTGCGTGGATTATATCCAAGTCGAAACTATACAATGGACCGAACCAATATGGGGACTCAAGTCCGAAACGAAGCTGTACTTGTTTGACATCTTAAAGGGAAATCACCCGCAAACCATCTTTTTTGGCGGCTACCGTCAAAATAAGACGCGCCGCATCCGATCGCGGATTGCATCCAAGTCTAAACTGTTGGTTTACACTAAAGTAGTCTAAACCCACAAAGTGAGTCTGAATACCAAACTGTGGGTTTCCCCGACTAAAAAGGTCCCAGAGACTCAAGTCCAAAACGGACCTCAGGGAGTGAGGATTCATTGTGAAGGGCCTGCCCCATGCAGGAACAAGACTTAAAAGCCCTTGCTATGCTAACAACTTTGGTCTTCCCCCCCACCCAAAACAAAATAAAGCAAACAAAACCAACTAGGTCGTCCTCCAGTAGAGAGGATAGAATAAGGGTACCAACTTTTTTCTGTAGTATATTTTAGTAGGGGAACCCTCTCCCTCCAAAGGGTGAGAAAGGGCACCTGGCTGGGGGACCTAGCCAAACAAAAACAACAAAACAACAACGACATTGCTTCCCCCCACCCAAAACAACACTAAAAGCAAACAACCCCCCCTCCAAAAAAAGAAAAGAAAAAAAGAAAACAAACACACAACACCACTGCCAAGAAGTGAAGGCACAGGCCCCCCTCATGCTGCACCACCACGCCGGCGTCCAGCTCGCCCTTGTTCACGAAGGTGTACCTTGCTCGGATTACTGCCCCCCCCCCCCCCACTGCCTCCAGGCTTTGGGCGGTCCGCCCTGGACTCGAAACGTGCTCCCAGTGTGCTGGAGTTGTTTCTGGAACATAACATACTCCCAGTGATAGAGTCTCTTAAACAACCAAAAGGGGAAAGAAAACATGCTCTTTTCAACAAATGGACGATTGCTAGGATCTTGGTTTTCTCGGTTGCTTGCTGTTCCCCTGCTAAAAGTTTAACTTTAGTTGTTTAATGGAAAGTTTGCAAAAGGTTAAAGTCCTAACATCTGGCCTCAGGAATCTTACCATGATCAAAGTCACCCCCCAAGTGGTGGGTTAAAGGGAAACACCCCCCCCATTTTCTGACTTTGACACCCCCCAGAAACCGAATCAAAATCATGACCTCAGAAACATCCAAGCAGAATGCAGCAAGGTTTTGGTTGCAGGCTTGGCAGGTGCGCCCTTGGGCCGAGTGGCATGACGCCTTCGTGGCAGTTGGACACCTCGATGGTGCCCACCTGTCGGCCGACCATGACCAGCACCGGCGGGCATACCTTGCCCGGATAGCAGTCCTGCGCAAAAAGCGTGGGTGCTGGAAGGACCCCCGCTTTCTGCAAAAAGTTGTTCACTTTTTCGGGGGTTGAGTGGAAACCACCTTGATTTCAACCAAAGAAGTTTAAGTCTAAAGATCCAACCCAATAGCAGTCAAGAAAGAAACCTAAGAAGTCGACCCCTTCAGACCCCTGAGCCAAACGTCACTCTCTTTATCACCTTTGGTACTTGGGTGTTCGATTCGGCCAAGTTAGTAGGTTGCCTAGATAGCTCGGGTTGTAACCTACTTAGTCCCAACTGCAGTTGTTGGCCTGGTCGGAAATGGGTTCTGACCTATATGGATCCGGACCAACATCCAAGTTACTTAAGGGATCCCATCCCTGATGGGTGGGGAATACTTTCTTCCGACCCCTGACTAACCGGGGAGCTTTTTAACTTGGGATAAACATTACGAAAACCAAGGCATGTCCTTGGACCAAATCTACGAAATCCAACATAGCCAATGGACGCACACCTGAAACCTGAACAAAGACGAAGCGCTCCTTGCCCTATCATTTGTCTTTTTCCTTTTTTTTGGGGGGGGGGGGGTGAGCCAAGTTGTTGTTTAGCGAGCCCGTGGGCAAAGCGGCCTGTAAACACATAAAATAAGAACGGCCTGCAAACCCTTGAGCAACACGCTCCTTCGAGAAAAAAACAAATAAGACCCATGTGAAGCGCGAGATGTTCGAGACGTCTGCACTCACCTTGACCTGGGATTCAAACCACCCTGAAAATAATGGGTAATGGGTCTAAGGGTTGATTCTGGGAAAAGGATTGGCTCATTTGATGAAAAGCTGCATCTCCAAAGAGCATGAGAATGGAGATTCATATAACCAACATTGCCTACCTAATTGGAGTTGCATCCAAACTGGGATGAAACTGGGGAGTGAACCCCCCGTTCAACCACTGTCTTCAGGTTGTTTACCTAAGGAGCTTCATCCAAATTGGGTCCTTGCCATTCTGTGAAATGGGGGGTCTGGTCCTTACCCAGGCGTCCTTGTCATTCTGCGGGGCTCTGGTCCTTTCCCGTGGATTTCTGGGCAGTGAACCCTATAGTCAATGATAAATTCGGGAAAATAACCCCGGGCTTTGGACAAATCCAAGTCCAAATTTGGTCCTTGTCTCCTTCTTGGCAAGGAACCCTAGGGTTGAACCTGGAGAATCACCCTGGGCTTCGCCGGTCCTTGGACAGATCCAAGTCATTCTTGGGGGCAAGGAACATTTTTGTCTTTTCTCCGGGGGATCATTCTGGGCTTCGCAGGTCCTTGGAGAGATCCAAGGTGGTCTTCTCCTCATCGAAGTGCACCTCGAAGGCCCCGGACCGCTCCTCCTGGCCGATGAGGTACTTCGAGGCCAAGGCCTGCGGAGCGTCGATCGCGAGGGTCGGCCCCGTTTTGGTCGCGCACCCAAGCGGAGTGGACGAAATCCATGTCGCACCAAGCTTTGAATCCAGGCAAAACCAGTGGGTATTTACAGGGGATCATTACTTCAGGGTTTCTTAGGTGGTGCAGGGTTTTACCCAGCCACAAATGCTAGCGAGACATGAGACATGGTTTTCCTTTTTTTTGCCTGCCTAAAAATGAAGAGAATCAAAAAGAAGAACCAAACAACATGATCCAACAGTGAAGTGGTTTAAACGGGCTCTTGGAGGAAGACTTAAAGGCATTGAATCCATCACTCATGCGTCCTGTGATGTGCGGCTCGGTCTCGTTTGGAAAGGCAAATATTAAGATCTCGATTTTTCTCGCCGGTTCTCAGGACTGTGGTCTTCCGTGTTTTTGGTTGGCTCAGGGATCTCTTCGTGCCTTTGCCTAGGGGTCTTTTGGCTGGCATTGAAAGAACATCAAAAGGGAAATCAGCCTTCGTTTGCGCGGGTCCCCTCACTTAGATACAAAACCAAATTGAAGAATGGGAGCGCAGCTTCTACGATGGTTTCGCGTGCTCGCTCCCTTTCAAGCTCATCCATTTAGGCCGCGCATGTAGAACATGTGCTTGGTTCTTGTTGAGGTTACCCTTGTTGGATTTGCTTCAAAGGGAACCACAACGAATACCACTGTTTTTCAGTCCACATGGAGCCTCAACATCCATTCGTGTCTCTCGTGCTCCATTTTACATCTAATGGTTCAAATCTTGGTTTTATTAACTTGTAATCTTTGCTTTGGGCAACCAGGCAAATACACCACGCCTGAGCAAAGCAATGTCAAATGCTTCCGGCGAGCACAAACGTGGCACGTGATGTTTGGTGAACAAATTTGGCCGGCGAAGGGAAACCAAAGGTTACCGCAACAAGTTGGTCTACTTGGGTGTGGGGCCTCCAACATGACGCAACGGTTTTCCTCTTGGCGTCCCTTTAAACCACCAAAGAAGGGGTGCCCTCCAAAAGAGGACGAGCCACCCACCTCGTGCTTCGATCATCTTTCGTGTCTTGGAGCAGCCCTACAGCTGAACAGTTTTGATGTTTGGTCTTGGACATGTCCTAGGTCCTCCAATAAATGGTTAGAATAAGGGAACCCTTTTTCTCCGTAGTCTACTTTAGCCAAAAAAAGGGGGTAACAGGGCACCTAGCTGGGACACCTGGTGTCCGAAAAACCCAAGCGAAAGCTGGTTTCGGGTTTCGGTGGATGCCCTCGCCAGGTTGCAAGTGCAGCAAAACCACAAACACAAATCCTGGGGAAACGAGCGGTGAACTGGATATTTCCCTTGCTCCCCCTGCATAATACTGATGGACGAAAGGCTGCACCCTCGTTCAGAATCCCTGGAATGATTTGATTCCAGTGAAGATGCCCAGGTTTCACTCCACGGGTTCCACGTGGCGGGAACGGATTTCGCCAACATCCGCAGGAAGTGCATGCGGGAACTCGTGAACTCGGGATTTGCCTGCCTGTTGCAGGACCACCACGGCCAAAGCTATTCGAGCCATTGCGGGTCGCCAGGGAGTCGCGACTAAACCCCAAAGTGATCTTGCTTGAGCTGCAAACGGCAAGACAAAGCATAAACCGACCACACAAACCTGGGCTGCCCTCAGATCCCTCGCTAGAAGTTTAACTTTTAGTGGGTTAAATGGAAACTACCACCAAACACTAAAAGGCTAAAAGGCTAAGGAACCGGATGGCTGGGAGCCACCACACATGTGGAAAAACCAACAGAGCGCCTTGTGTGCAACCGGATGCGGCTGGGATGCTTAACTGCCCGCTCATCCCGGTGGCCCTGACCTCTGAAGATGGGAACCCTCTGAAGAGGTTGGCGGGGGGAACCTGCTGAGCAATTGGGAGGCATGTTTTGAGTGAGGCCTTTGAACACGCACGCACACAGACCTCCATTTGCTCAAGTCCGTTGGGAATAGAAGAGAATTAGTTCCAACCCTTCAAAACCAACAGGGGAAAAACACTAATCCTAAGCAAATGGAAGTAAATGGAAGTAGACAATGGAAGTGGCCGGCCAGCCACTCTCATGACCGGCCACTTCCAACACATGGCCCGACATCCTCCTGCACGTATGTTGAAAAAAACGACTGAAAAATAGAAAGCCAAAAGATCATCAGGTCGGCGTTAGGCAACTGAGTGAAAGGAAGCCAACGAGGTCAGTCGAACCTTGTGGTTTGGCCCATGTTTAATAAACCAACTCGCAGCAGCTCTGAAGGACGCGGACTGAGGTCAAGAAATCCGGCCACTTCACGGACATGGGCTGTAGGGACAAACCCCGGCACACCCTCATACTGATTTCTTGGATTCTCATTTTCTACAAGTACTTTGTGGCTTCAAAATGCCTGGAACAATCACAGAACAAATCCAAGGCGGTAGATAACAACATGCTGGTTTAGATCTTCCGGGCACGTGCTATGTTGGGAGGCTGGATGCCGCCTAGCAATGAAGGAACAGCAACCGCCCCCCCGCCTGTCGCCTCGATCCCGTCCGTGAAATCCAGCCGAGGCGCCGAAAACGCGCCGGCCGCCTCGGGTGAAGGGACGAGGGCGCCCAGAGAGCGAGCAGCTTCCGCGAAGCAAATGTCTTCCTTGGAGATCGACGCATCGACGAATCGATTCTCCCCATGAGAATGGGCTCCTAGCATTTAATTGAGGAAATGACCCTCATACTTTCCTATGGGAAAGGGCGTGTCAAGGGATTTGATGCGCATCCAAAAAAAACATATTTTCCCTATACAAAAGGGCGCCCTCCTTGTGTTGAAGGATTTCTGGAAGTTGATGTACATCCAACACCCAGCCGGAACTATGGATTCCTGGCAAAGTGTATGGTGGTGAATGGTTTTTGTCCAGGGGCTCCTGGATGTTGAATTTCTTCAAAAGGGACATCCAAAAAGCCACCTGCTGAAACCAAGGAGTTCTGGGAAGGGTCTTGTGATGTTAAGGGATTGGAACTACGGGAAAGGGTCCGTCCCAAAACGCCTGAAACCAGGCGCCTTTGGGAAAAATAGACGGCCCTGTTCAAATGAAACAACACCAATCTATATAAACCCAGTGGCCCATCTATTTCTCTAGGTCTTCCAGTAGAGAGGTTAGAATAAGGGTACCAACTTTTTTTTGTAGTCGATTTTAGTAGAGGAACCTTTGGACTCTATTTCTTCCCAAACCTATCTAAAAAGGACACACACCCAGTGGGTATTTCCATGGGGTGGAAAAAAGAATCGGGATTTACCCAGTGGGTGTCCGGGTGTCTGGGATTTAGAATTTCCTGCTGGGAAACAATATGTCGAATATTCAGCTTTCAGGCCGAAAGTCGGGCCTACAAACCCAAAGCTTTCCGCCGCGACCCGAGGCCCAAGGCTTCGAGCCGAGGCGCGTTCCGCGCGTTCGACTCCGGCACAGCACCAGTGCTGCTGGCGCCCATGTGCCGCAAGGCTCGCCGCATGAAGCTCACGCGCCTCGGACGCAGAGCCGTGAAGGTTCTCCGAGCGGATGTCTCTCTTCATCCCAAGCGGTGTGGCAAAGAACTGAAGGTCTGGCCCTAAACATGACCAGCACCCCAAAAAGATCAACGAAACAAAAACATGCCGACTACAAGAACTGACCGTTTGTTTTTGCAGCCTAGTGAAAATGAACAGAACCAAGCAAATACACCTGCCAGCAATGAAGATTTGTTCCGCACACCTAGGAAATTGAGTGGTTCCAACATGGCTCCACAAAACAAAGGTTGGGTTTCAGCGCTGCCGTCCTTCTGTTTGCTGCCTGTTGCCCATGGCCTAAGCGGCGGGCGCTGCTCTGTTGGCCGGGCTTGGGGACCCCGGTGCGAGCAGGGAATGCCCCAAGGTTTGGGAATGAACCTGGGGATTCGAATTCACGGAAGCCAAGCCGGGGAGTTTTTTTTTTGGGGGGTGATTTCTCGTTTCTCATTCCCTTTTTTTCGCACCAGCAAGTTGTTTTTTCTGGTCGGCAAGCCTCTTCTTTTTTTTATCCGCACGCGGTGATCACACAGTGCGTACAATGGTTGGTGTACCGTTGGATTCCCTTTCAACCAAGCAAAATTGGCACCCACAAACCAGAGGCCCATACATACATAAATATTACGTGTATATAAAATCAAACGATTAGATATGGTATATTACAAAACATTCAGGACCGTTCAGGGTAGGTCGCTCCCATTTCCGCAGGTCAATGGCGGGAACATTCCGAAGTACCAAGAACCGGTCCCATTTTAACGTGCCCTAAAAAAATCCCAAGCTGAATGGGTAGAAGGGGAATCCGGGGAAACCGTTCCGCCCAAGGCGCGAAAACCAATGGGATCCCCAGAGTGGATTCCAATGGGTTCGTGCCAGGGTTGTGGGAAATGGAACCCACTTCTGTGATACAACAAGAAGGGCCTAACCCCCAAAGACTAACACCTCATATAAAGGGGGAGATTCCCTTGTATCACAGAAGTGGGAATAAACCCCTAGTGATTCCACAACCCTGGTTCGTGCGGTTAGCTTTGCCACGATTTGGCGCCTTCAAGTTCGGCCGCTATGCAGTAATTAATCAGTAGTCTAGGCTGAGGTTGCCCATTCTCAACACCTTGTCACAGAAGACAGGATCACACCAGTTGAGTTGAGTCAATGTTCCAAGTTATCATGACAACCACAGCGGATGGGCAAAATCCGCTTCTGACAGGATTTTGCCCGCCGGCAGTGGAAATAATTTCCCTTGGGACAAACGGCAAGGGTGCCATTGCCCCTGGGCAAAACACAAAACACAAAACCAAATCTGCCCGCAGCATCCCCCAGCACCAACAAAACCGTGGGAATAAGGAAAAACAACAACCAAAACACAAAAACCAACCACACAGCAACAACAAGTGAGAAGTCCCGAAAGCAACCCGCCCACAACCCTCCCCTCCCCCCCAAAAGCGCTGTGACACCGATGAGCTTTCCGGTTTCCGTCGACGCGCCTCAAGCAAAGGCCACCGTTGCCCACGGCGGCTTGGCCCTGCAAGGCGCCGAAACAACAAAAAACCCAGCACCCCCACTCGGTTGCGAAATCTGCTCCCCTGCTAAAAGTGACTAACTTTTAGTGGTTTGATACGGAAAACCCATTTGTTGGCAAAAACAAGTGTTTATGTCCTAACATCCCTCGGCAAAATGCACCAAAGCCCGAATGAGTGGCTTTTTGGACAGCACGGCCCTGTTTTGGAGATGGGGAAATGCAGTCGTTGGACTCTAAGATTCCGTGGCCGTTCTTTCCAAATGTTTGTCCATGGCGAAATCATCTATGGTTGCTCTTTCCGTTGTTTCACTTCCTGAATGGATTGGCCCAACAACGAGTGAACTTTCGAATTTCCACCAAAATACCCAAATGGTCCAAGCCCAAAATGTGACTCATGTCCAAAACGGAACTGAGGGAGAGAGCTACTCGGGTAACTTAGGTTAACTCAGAAATACCCAAGAGCATACCCGCCTGGATGTATATAGGTTACCTGGCCATGGGTCAAAACCCTGTACCCCCAGTGAACATCCCAATCCCCACTAAAATAGGTTCTAAAATCGGTGGTGCACCTACCCCAAAATGGGATCCTATGGGTTTTGACCCACAGCCACCTAGGATACTAACCACTTGCCAACCTGGCGAATCGAAGACCCAAGTTTCTCAAACGGGAGTGATGCCAGGGGCCGGATTCACTGAGCCCATGAATTTACCAAAGTCAGCCCTAAGCGGTCGGACAAAGGGAAGTCACCCCGCTTTCTGACCGTGATAACCAGACACGGAACCAACATCATGAGCCCAACCACCCCTCAGTTCCATCTTTAAAGGAACTGACCCCCTGCCAGGGTCACTGGATTTGCCCAGGCTCCAGGGCCTCACAAACCGAGGCCTTAACTCCGAAACCGAACCGCTTCGACGTCGCCGCTTCGCCCGGCCGCGGGCCTCCCGCGCCCAGCTCCACGGGGCGCCCACCAAGTCGTAGCCCAAAAACTGCTCCGCCCCGCGCCGCAGCAGCACGCCGTCGCACTCCTCGGCCAAAACGCGCGAAGCGGCGAGCGGCGAGCGGCGAGCTGGAGTGACCTCTGCCCAAACGGTGCCTGGCAAACAACCGGCTTTGCGGCCTTCTTTTTTTGGCAGCTGCCTAGTAAAAATGTGGAAAAAACAACTGAAATAAAACATGATCCAACGACAGTAAAGGGAGGGCTAGTAAAAATCTGTGGATGGGCCAAATCCTGCAGATTTGGCTCACCCACAGGGTGATGAGTTTCTTGCCACCATAATTTAGTGAGCCTGCACACCGGGTTGTCGGACATTTATCCCTGTGTGAATCATGATGCCTCGCAAAAAGGGACTCCTAGGAAGAAAGGGGTTTACCATTCCAACCAAGCAACCGCGAAAAACCACCGCGGCCTTTTTCCTCATTGCCACCGGATGGGTGGTGGTTTCCGCGTGGATTTCGGGCCTTTGGATCAATGTGTGCTTCAGGTTTGGCAGATCATCCAGTTCAGTGGATCAACTAGGTCCTCCAGTAGAGAGGCTAGAATACGGGTACCAACTTTTTGCTGTAGTCTATTTTAGTAGGAGACCCTCCCAAAAAAAACAGGGTAAAAGGGCACTACTGGGAGACCTAGTCAACATCCAGTGGCATTCTCTTAGAACACTTCCTGCAAAACCTCCCGTTTTGCCTTTTGTAGCTCGGTTCCGTTGGACGGGCAACTCTTGGATTCTCCGGGCCCCCCTTGAGGGTTTCAATGGACCATTGCCTAATGTTGACCCCATATTCATCGACCTCAGTTTGTTAATAGGGAGTGTGCATGGGAGAAATGTGGGGAACCATCAGGGGAACACACCCGTGTTAATAAACTGGGGTTGACGAATATGGGGTCAACATTACCCTCATAGAAGTTCAGG